CAGTGCGCAAGGGCAAAGACTACAGGGCAAACCAGGCTTGCTGTGTTGACACGGCAGAAATCCAAAGCAAAGCAATGGATTCTTCTTGCAAGCGTGCGCTCACAAGGAACTGCGTCATGCTAAGGAGCCCCAGCGACAAAGCAAGCACAGAACCAAGCACTCCTACGCCTCCAGGCTTTCCCAGAGGGGGCCGCTACCTGCGAGTAGGGTTCCAAACAAGGGCAGACCTTTAGCTACGGACTCCCACCCTTGCTACGGCTTCCCTGGTGGCTTAACCACCTCGAGCAGACGCGGCCTTGAGCCAAGGCTACGGATGCTTTAAGCCTCCTTCCGGCACTCTCATCATCTCCCTTCAACACAAAGCATGCCACATCAAGACAACATGCCAAAACATGCACACATGCCGCAAACAAGCCAACAACGAAACATTTTCGGGTGCGAATACAAATCCAACATTCTCATTGTCGAAGCTTAATCGTTCTTAGGGTTTCTCTTGGAGTCTCTCTGAAACATCCAAAGACCCGAAATAACGACTCCAACCAAGGCACTAAAGATCAGGATAAGGAACACCGCGGACTCAACGACTTCTATAATTTAACCGGGAACGATTTTTTTTTTCCTCTGGCGCCTCTTTACTACATCAGTAGCACAGTAGGCCGGTCTTGTTGGGCTCGACGAAAAGGGTGAAACAGAGTCAGCGCACACAACCCGCCAAACACAACACGAAACCACCAAAGAACAGACACCGAAGAAACAAAGCGAGCAATCGCGCTAAACTACTAGATACCCCACGGACTCAGTACTCGAGGTCGTCAATGAAGTCCCGGTTCACAAGGAAGCACGGAGCTTGTGGGGGAATCGCAAATTGCGACATTGCCAGATTCTCAAAACCACCATCATGTAGCCATTGGTGCGACAGCGGTTAATCAAACCGAGGTCATCAGAAGAGGTTCGGATCACGTACTCGTTGTCAAGAACAGACAACCGACACTCAATGGCGAAAGGATGTTGCAAGTCAGACTCCCTAGGGGGATGAAAGATGTGCAAATGCCCCATGGTGGTCAGCCAGTGGGGACTTAACAGCAAGAACAATCAAGGCAAGACCGGCCCAGGGCACTCCATGGTGGTCAGCCAATGGAGTAGCTCCGAGCACAGAGTTCACCAGTCAACCTGGCGCACAAGTGCCCACCCTCGGAGGTGCCCGCGCACGGCCAGAGGGGGGGACGAGAGTAGCATCAGCTACTGATTACCTGGCGCACAAGGGCCCACCCTCAGAGGTGCCCGTGCACGGTCAGAGGGGGGCCGAGAGTAGCAGCAGCCACCGATTCATCGGGGAAAGTCCACGGCGAGTTATCAAACCCTTAACGCCACAGGGTTTTAATGACACCGAGGGACCTCCCAGTCCAGGCATCTCGCGCAAGGCTACGCCACTTTAGCACTGGCCTGCGCATCGGCACGCACCAGGTCCCTTCACCCAAACCCGCGAGGTACGCCGGTAAGGAGACTGGAGGGCTCACATCACCGTCATGCTGCCACCAATGCGAATACATTCAGCACCTGCCAAGGCCGTTCACGCGATGGTTTACAGTTTCGCCATCACAGATGGAGCAAAGTCGTGCCTCAGCACGGAACCTTGTAAGTGTCAACCTGTGTGTTCGGAAGTATAAAGTTTGCCCCATGATGGTCAGCCAGTGGGGACTTAACGGCGAGAACAAAGGGGCAGGACCAGCCCAGAGTACTCCATGGTGGTCAGCCAGTGGAGCCTCTCCGAGCACAAGCGCAACGTTCTGTTGACTCACAAGAGCTCGTCCGCCGGCCAAAGCAGGCTGGACTGCTTCGTTCCAATCAGAGCCATCAGGTAAACCCAAGCAGGCGGGGACCCCACCTGCCCCACAGGAAGCGGGAGAGTTCCCCAGTCGAAACTTCGCACTCAAGGCCAAGGGGACGAGACGACACGACACTTGGATCACAGTGAGTCATGGCAATGCGACCCTCCCCTTTGTGGTATCTCGGCCGAATGACGAATCTGGAGAGGCCAATGCGGTGGTGCTGCTTCTCCCAGGTATTGGGCACTTCTCCGTAGAGAATATGCACCCATTGCCCTTGCAAGGAGCCAGTGAGCACCTGTGGAGCAACCTGGCCTTCAAAAAAGCCGTCACTGCCTGCGCATGGCCTGTGGCGGGACAAGCAGGCTCACTGCCTGCTGGATGTTGCCTGACTGGACCAAGGCAGTGTTTGCAATGGAAGTTCTACCGCTTCTGTTGGCCGTCCAACGTGATGCGAGCCCTCGCATCTCCTCACCGACGTCTGTCGGTTTGGGCTTGGACAAGCTGATTCTGGGTATTGAACCCTCAACCCTCACCGGCCAAGGAAATAGTTGACGATAGCGATGGGGCAACAAGTGTGGGCGACAGCTGGGTCTCAAAGCCGAGGGGTTTTTGCAGTGCCATAGCACAGAAACGGCCACCTACCCAGTCAAAGAGGGGCAGAGAAGAGGAAGACTGGGCAGCCTTACCAGAGAGCCATCCGTAGAGGGGGCAGAGGAAAGGACAATTGGCCGTTGTACCGATGACAGAGCTGGAACATCAGGCAGGACCGGTCCAGGGCAGTCCGTGCAGATGGGCAGGGAGCAACCACAAGAGAAAGGCCCCCCGTCACATAGGCACACTGCAGGGCCGACAAAGACAGGTGTTCACAGCAACAGACTGTGAGCACACAGAAGACAAGCACGGTCCAATCCGTGACATAGACCACGAGAGGGTTGCCAAACCAAGAATATTCCGAGTGGTAAGATTTACCGGGGGATTGCTTTTCCGTGCTTGGGGTACTTCGGTGCCTGGTTAGGCCGTTTGGCACACACGCAGTCCAAATCAGTCTACACCTGCTTGATTGGAGGGGTTTCGCGCTGGACACCTGCTCACAGTTGTGGATTTGGGAGGTTGAGGCCCGGCCCGCCTTGAAATTTTTTTCTTAAAAGTTTACTGGGCTGGGACTTGCGACAACGGCCGCTGGCCGCCTGTCAATGATCACGACAGCCACGTGCATCAGCTACACTTGCTCCACGGCTCCACAATTAAAACGACCCGTGAGTCTCACCAAGTCCCACCCAAGCAATGCCAAGCAAGCAGCAAAAAAAGAAGAAGAGAGCCGGGTTATTTTCTGCGCAATCAGCTGCTCTGCCATGCTGCGTATTGCTTCATTGAAAAGTTCTACTACTCAGACGCTACAACCTGAAACCTTCTTCGAGCTTGCGCGCTGGACAGACTGGCAACTTTGGTTTCGGGCTGTGTGTTGGAGTAAAAGTCACGCTGTGCATGATTCTGCGGTCAGCAGGAATTGGATGGGTTCTACTTACTAGAAGAACAAAGACATGGGGTGAGATGAACCTGCTGCTGAAGCCATCGCTCTCACATCTCGCCTCGCCGCATCCCACCACCCTGAACACGCCACATTTCGACTTAGGCTTAGGCGCTTCGACCTTCGTATCTGCAGCTGATCGGAAATCTGAAAATCAGGATCATTACTTTCAAGAGTGCATCAGAGACCAGCGAAAATTATTGTAACTGTGACATGGTGGCGCAGTGACACTGTGAATGTGAAAAGCTTTACTGCGTTCCTGCATTCCTGCAAATGCCCCAGACTAAGCTTCGATGTTTCAGAAGATTCTGAGCACAGGCTACCGCTCAAGTCTCGAACGTGTGACTTTCTACCCACTCTACACAGGTGATGAATCTCCAACATCAAATCGACTCACTACGCAAAATGTCATTACATGTCATTTGCAACCTGTGACTGTGACCCTTCTACTTCCCGCAAGCCGGTAGTTGCAGCTGCCAACCGGACTGACTTGACCCTTGCGGCCCTTGCAGCCCCTCCCAAAGTGTGGCTAGCGTCGAGCGTTGCATGGACCTACTGACTGAGCAGCCTCGCACGGATTGTCCACAAGCTTGAACTTGATTCTCGATCACCGACCTGGCCAAATGATTTTCACACGCAGTGGTCATGGGATTTATGGGTCGTCCTGATGGCTGACGGCAAAGGCAAACAGTGTGACAAAGTTGTCACGCATCTTATGTCTTATGTACCACGGTGCCGAGTCGCAAAGCTGCAACAGAAAGTTACTACACACCAGTCAGAATGACTTGCATGCTTCGAACTTCTGATCCCTAGCTGGTCTCACCGGCTCACCGTCCCCCCTGCACTGGCACTGCATCACTGCACGTTGCTTGTTTGCGTGCCGCATGTTCACTCTTTCAAGCTGCGAGCTGCAAGCTGCACTGCAAGGCTTCAAGATTGCTCTGCTCACGCTCACGCTGTCTCAGACTATAGCACCCTGCGAAAGAAGATTTCGGCATTGCGCCATTGCTTCGCAATGGAACGCCGTTGTGATGATTCAATGATGATCACTGCGCCGTGCATCAGCACCATGATCCCGAGTCGCATCGCGTGGCAAGCTGCATGACAGAGCCTCCCTCGAGAAAGATGAGTGGACTGCATGGAATGGAATAGAAAACCCTTCTGCATCAATCATGAGCCCCAGAGTCCTGACCGACTCCTGACCGGCACGTTAACTTTATCGCAGCCTACCTGCAACAACTCAGTATTTCATATCTGGTGACCTGGTGATTCAATGAGACAGGAGGATCCAATCCAGTCAAGACTCCAGACTCCAAATGCATTCTACTTCAGTGCTGGAATATTCGGGCTTGTGTTAGGTGAGTTATGTCGTCACGTCTACCAACCTTTCGTGAGCAAGACACTCTGCCAGCAGCAACGGCAAAGAACACAGCAACAAATTTAAACAATGCCGTGTTTCTGTCGTCCTCGAAAACACGATGACTGTTGAATCAGTCACACATCACACACGACCAACCCCCACGATCAAGCAGAAGGATGGCAACACGTTGTTGTCTGCCGCCGACCCTGCTCTTGATGCTTGCACCCCTTGACCCCTTGGCTCTTGGCCCACTGCGAACCTCAAGCCCAACTTCGCCCAAGCTTCAAGCTGCCGCCGCCTGCTGTGCGATGCACTTGTGAGCCAGCGTTGCAAGTTTTTGATACGCATGTCCTTGCGGGATCAACTTGAGGAACGCGTTGAAATCCCTCACGCATGCATCCGTATGCTTTGGCAGGACGCCAACCCTGAAACCAACAAGCTTTTCCCCGTTCACGACTTCCTCCGCCACAAGCCACCCTGGAGGAATGTACATGAGCGAGCCAGCCTTCTGAACCCCTGCGAACATGTAAGAGCAGTCAGTCAGCTTTGCCAGGTCGATGAACTTCCAAATGTTGATCATGTCCGAAACCGATGAAGCTGCATCGCCGCCGGCATTGAACCGATCCTGGATGGCCCGAGGTGATGCTGTGATCACTCGCCTGCTGCCCTGCAACACGTATCGGAGTTGCCCTATTCCACGCTCTTCGAACCCCACATACGACATCTCCGGTGTGAAGCCAAACAGCGCCATCTGGAGGATGGGCGCCAAGTCTTTGTAGCCCGGCTCGTCTAGCACCGCACTGTCCTTGCGAAAGGGAGCGGCCTCCATCATCATCTTAAGAAGCTGCCCGCCGGGCTCGTCCATCTTGGCTGGGCACTGGGCCCTACCCGAAGCCCTGCACAATTGTGTTCCTGGAAACTGGTGTCCAAAATTTGTCACCATGCAACGGAGGGAAGGGCTCTCCTGAACCAGCTTTGCGATCTCAGGCATGTTGGAGATCACGAAGGGCACGCTGCCACCACCCACATCGGCTACAAGTTGAAGCGCCGCCTGGTTTGCATTCGCAGCGTCGAGGGCTTCCTCCAACCTGGCCTTGAACTTGCTCACATCGGGAAACCTCGGGAACCAGCTGAACTTCAACTTGTCCGAATAGGTGCTGAGGATCGTCACACCCCTCTCGCAATCCTTTGCTGCAGCCGCTGCAGCCTTGCGTGTTGCAGCTGCGGCTGCCCCATCTGCTGTCTGCTTCTTCTTGGCAGCCTTCTTGGCTGCTGCTTCAACTTCGCGCTCCTTCTTCCTCGCATCTGCCTTGATGGCATTGTCAAGGTCTCGGGTGGAATTCTTCAGGGAGTTGCGGAGCTGAATGTGAATCGCAGCCTGGTCTGACATTCCGGAACAGAGGAGCTCGATCTCAGACTTTGTCGTCTTTTGCATGATGGTTTCAAGACTCTCCTTCAAACCCTGCAGGACCCATGTTTTCATGAGGATATCCTTCGGCACTGGCTGAAAGGAAAGGCACTTCGAGTCCATGCCCTCGACATGCGCCTTGAAATCATCCTGCGACTTGTCGAGGATGGCTTGCAACAAACTCTGGCGCACAGTCACGATCTCGAAAAAGTGGCTGAATTGATCCTTCCGACCATCGTTCTCAAGCAAGGCCTCTTGACTTGACTTCAAGGCATTCTTTCCCTCTTGCTCGATATTGGTCACAATCTTTCGCTGCTTCTCGAAGCTGGAGACCCGGAATCGACCGACATCTCGAGTCCTGGTCTTGCCCTTGCCCTTGCCCTTGCCCGAGTCATCTTCCTCAGCACCCCCAGTTCTCGAAGCAGCTGCCTGATCCCCAGCAAGACTGGCAAGGTCACCGTCAAAACGAGCTTCCGAACTGGCATCCCAACCGAGGCCGCCAGACTTCTCGGGTGATTCGAGCTCCGCGTCTGCTTCTTGCTGTGCCTTACCAAAGTTGAATGGCTGCAAGTCAAATCCGTGGGCGGTATCCTTCGCCCTCCGGATCATTCCATGGCATGAGTCAACCAAGGCCTCTGCTTCCTTGCCCTTCTTCATTTTGCAGCCGTGGCTGACTTCCTGAACAGTTTGAAGCACCGTACAATCAACACATGACCCGTCCTCACCCTAGTCCCCTGAAAAATTCATCTCTTTCTCAACTTCTGACATGAAACATGACAATGCCGAAAACGCAGCGACGACCGTCCAGCAACAAAGCACGGCAACACGACTCATAGCGACAGGTTTTTGCAAAGCCACAAACTTGCTACAAACAAACCCGTTCAAACCCGAAGCAAAAGGCCTCTTTCTCACCAGTGATCGTCTCCTTCCTCACATAGTCTTGGACCGGGACTGCGAATCTTTTTTCGTAGTCCTTCCTTCCCTTGAAGTCGTAGTCCTCGTTTGAGGTTTCCCAATCCTGCCATTGGTCAAATGCCTCTTTCGGAGTCTTCCCTTTGGACAAAGCATGCTTCTCCCATTCGATCCAATCCATATACTGCAGAAGGCTGCCAGTTACATTCTGCTTTGTCGTGAAGATTTTCCTGCAGTAACTCGCCCAATCAAAGCTGTCACGGCGAACGCCCTGTCCCCGCGACGGACATGTTTTTTGGTAGTGGAGGATCAAGTGGCGAAGCCCTTCTGCCGTCTTCGTGAGACGGGTCCAATGCGCAAGTCTCCCCTCCCTTTCTGCATCAGCCTTGCAAGCTTGCACATCACGTTTGCACATTTTGCAGAAGAGGAACTTGGGGATCGCGGCAACAAGAAGACAGACTGCACACATGCGGTCTGACACCTCCGACTTCCGCTTGGATCCCTGAGGCAAGCCCTGCGCCGATTCCACCGCCAGGGGGAGGGGCGCCATCTTGGCCATCTTGCTCTGGCCGCCTGCTGGGAGTGCTTCTGCGGGCTGCTTGGGAGGGTCAGCCTGGCGCCCGTCTGCAGGATTGGTCTCACCCAAGCCCGGCAGGCCCAGAAACGACTCCTCCATCTCTTCGGAGAATGCCAGTTCCATGTCTCGCTCCTCTGGCCTCTTCCCGTCCTCCTCGTCAAGATCGAGAAACCTCTTTCTGGGCTCGAAGACTTTCTGACCTTCCAGGCCCTCCGTGACGGAGTCGGACATGATCTCTGGAAACTCTAAGGCCCAAGGCTTGCAACGGGTGACTGGGCGACGTCACGTCTACACAGTCTGCGCACAACTTCAGCCAGAAGCTTTCCACTCTGACATCAATGCACTCCAGCGACACACGGCACAAATTAATCAGTGCAAAGCAGCAGCCGTGATCAAATGAACGGAACTGCTGTCGTCCCCTCACCGGAGCGCCGGCTACAAACTACGATCTCCCATTGTCTCCCATTCCCTCCACTAACCCTCTACACCGGTAATAGCGCTTGCCTTAGCTCACTATTGCCTCAGCCATGTCGAAGCTATGTTCTAAAATGATGTTACGCTGTATCCTTCGAACAAATCCAAACAATAATGCACTGTCTCATTTTTGTGCCCCTCTAACGGATCCCTTCCCTTCAGCCAGACAGAGGGCCTCCCAGGGTGAAAGAATGTGAATGAGGAAGGCGATGAGGCCGAAGTCCACGCCTCGAGCTGGCAACGCATGTCTTGAAGCGCCGACGCAAACATTCAAGTGACGTGAGTGAAGCAATCGTGGAATCTCACACTTCCCCACTTCGCCATGAACTGCGACTGCACACTGATTGGCCATGCTACGACTCCCGCGACACTGTTGAAGATCAGCTGCTCTATCCCTACTGCTACGGTGATCGAGGGAGGGGCTGGAACCCACGTGAATATCAACCTCACACAAGTCGTTTGCAGTTTGCAGAAATGCCTAAGGAAGCCGAGGAATCCGAGAAGCCGGCTGGAGACGATGAAGCTCACGTCAACGACGGCCTCCAAAATTTTCAACTAGCTTGCAGTACGATCAATTGCAGCGATTGCATATTCAGAGCCCCGCTGCCATAAGTTCTAATTATATTCCTTCATATAAGAGTCACAAAGACAATTAAACCGGGCTCTTTTCCTGTTACGACATCAATCAAGAGACTCCTTTGCAAACCGAGGACATCACCATTACCAAACTTTGCCCACTACAGCAAGACCGCAAGAAACTTTCATGCTTGCTACTGAGATTGACCGTTGTGACATTTCGAACTCACAGTCGCTATAGCTCACCAGCTCGCACTGCGACTAATCACTCTGCTGACTACGGATGTACTTGCGCAGGAACAGAAAGCCAAACCGCACAGCACCTACACTGTCTACACTGCCGACTGCACGGTCCATGGATCTGCTGCACGCTCTCGTTTCTCCATTTCTGCCACCTCTGCAGGTTGAAGCTTCCGTGCTCCAGCTTCAGCAAAGCGGGGCGCTGCAACAATATGAAGACTAGCACACTCCTTCTCGTCTGCAAAATGCACGAAGGCTTTCGGGTTTTCTGCACTGTTTGGTTTGCAAAGCATCTACAAAGTTCAATCCGTAGTCAGAATCTGAAATATTGAACAACTATGGTACCTTCTGAGGGAGAAGAAGTCTTATCAAATTATTCTCGCTGTTGCCGTGAGCAAGCTATCCTACCCGCGTCAGACTCAAAACCCAGCATCGGCTGCCATCTCTCCTGTCAGATCTTCTTGGTGCTGGCTGTCTTCAAAAGAGAAAGTCAGCCTTGACTTCATGGTGAACAAAGTAGCCGGCTGCCACTCTATGCTGCTCAACGCATACAAGATCATGGAACCGAGCGTTGGCACGAACATCGCATTTCCGATCATCTTGTGCCAAACTGCTTTGGACCATCTAGGATCACGTTCTGCAATGGATGCCTGGACCTTTTCCAGAAATGCAGGGCTGTAAGGCGCTTTCAACAAGAGGTCTGTCGGGAATCCTTGGGCGGCAAACAACTCGGACACAGTCGCATGCCTTCCCTTCTGCAAACTATGAATCGTGCCATGCGTAATGACGCAAGGCCACCACGGACCTGCTTGAGCGAAGCCGAAGTTCTGGTCCAAGTCTAGAATGTAAGCTTCGTCTTCGTTGGTATCACCATGTTTCTTCGCCATGCGAGCTCGATGTTGCTGCAAGATGCTCTGCTGATTGGCGGGGTAGCAGCGGTCCCAGGACTGCTGGCTCATCTCATCGGCCATCTGGAAACCTCGCCTTTTGCAGAGCAGCTGAAACTCCTGCACAATCTCGGCATGGTCGTGTGGAAGGAAAAAAAGAGCATTCCCATCCATCTCCACTGTCCTTCTGAACAAAGCCGTGTATTCGGCAACACTCCCCACAAAGGTCACCTGTGAACGCAGAAAGCCCAAACAGTACATTCTGGGCCTTCGGATGGGCCAGCCGTGGAAACACGGCCCCGGATGATCCACGAATTCTAAATGGTACAAGTCCTCCAGAAACATCTGCAGTTTACCCTTCGGAAATGCACTGGCTGACTCCATGATCAAAAGCAGTGGCCTGCGAAATCGCATGAGGACACACCATGTGTAGAAAGGTCGCATGGACTCATGGCCAAGCCCCTCATGTTTGCCGTAGGAGGAAAACGCCACGCATGTGAGCCCTGCCACTTCCAGGGAATGGTCCTTGGCAGCGTTCGACTCTGCGTCTGCTCCTGGAGAGCACTGGGCAGACTGGGCAGCCTGAGCAGTGGATGCATTCAGCCTGCATTCCTGGAGGTGTTTCACACAGAAGCATTCTGCCTTCACCATGGGTTCTGGCTCCGAACTCCTCTGCAGCAAATACTCTCCCATGGCCTCATATGCGTCAACACGCTGTTGAAGCACTTCTGCGCGACAATCCTTGGACATGTTTCCCCTTATCGATGGCATTGACTGCTCCATTGCATTCAACTCTTGCTGCACCTCACTGACCAGAACATCATCCAGCTGCTGGAAGTAATGCTGGGCCTGGCGTGAGCCCGGAATCCCCAAAGCTAACCCTTGGCAAACTCCGTCTGCGTCACAAGCGCTGTGAAATTCCACGGGCAGCACCTCAGCCTTCTCATCACGCAGCCCCAATTTTTCTGCGTGTGCACGAAGTCCTGCCCGCAATGCCTGGAAAGCAGTTTCCTCTGTACACAGGCCAGAGTAGTTCGATGTCAATCTCCATGTGGAGTGCAATGACTCCTTCAAGCGGGCCATCCGACTTTCATCCTGAAGGATGACAGCAACCATGTCGACGGGCCAGTTGAATGCGTCGCGCAGACTGGATGGGCCGGAGGGAGCTTTGGCAGTGGCATTGGAGTCCTCAATGTCATGCTGCTTCAAGGCTTTCGACACAGTGTCACCCTGCTTGTCATCATGGCATTCCGAAAAAATGGCTGATGCTCCGCGCTTCATCTCTGCTCTGAAGAAAGCAGAAAGGACGATTTTATAGCTGCCCGTGTATTTCCGCTATGCGCCTAGCACTCCAATCCTATTGCAACTCAGCTTCGCAAACATTACCCCCCCCCCCTGCATCAGGATTGTGAACTTGCGACATCCACCACTGCTTCTAAGACCACAAAGCGTTCAGTTCAGCTGCATGAGCCGGGGAGTCAGCATTATGTTCCAAGCGAATCACGCGCTGCAGGTGCACAGTCGGGCAGAGCAGCAGAGTTGCAGCTGGGGGCAGGAGTTTCAAGAGTTAGAAAGCTTCGCCCTACCTATCGTGATATCGCAGTAGCCTTCCTTCTTGCACCCATATCGACCCTGTGCTGAAACTCCTGCTGCTCCCCAAACACAGAACAATCGTTGAACCACAGGCCAGCCTCAAGAAAGAGCTCCGGCCCCCGCTGCCACTGCCACCAACCACGCGGAGGAACCTCCTGCGAATGGCCAGTACGAGACCGGGGCAGAGGTCATGGTCTGACATTCCCACTAGACTGGCTTACTTGATCTTGCGGCTTTGCAAAGAGAATTGCAGACTTCACTGGGAAAATGATCCGTAATGCTCTTACAGACACTGTCCTGCGCAGAGCAGCAGCAACCGAAGGACACATCAACCGAGGCTAACCGAGGCTGACCGAGGCTGCCGACTGCCACTGCTGAATGGAGACTTGAATGCGATGATGCGGATTACCTACTTTCCTTTCCACATTGCCGTCAAGACTGTCAAGATTTGCAGAGCATTGTGCACCAGGCCGCGGGAACACTGCTAGGGGCTTGCGAAGGCTGCGGAGCACACCTTATATTGCATGATCGTGTGTGTGCTTTCACACTAGAGCATTGTTGCCTGCTCTCGGAGTTCTAGAGCTCCCAATGCTCGGACACGAAAGCGATGATAAAAGTTGGAATTCTTCAGTTTGTCTTCTTGTCATATGAGATCTTGGTACCTCTTCTGCTGATATGATTCCCACCTACTCCGTGTACTCAGTGTGTTACCCAATGTGATTAGACGCCTCACTTCAAAGAATCTCGTGATCTTCACGTGAAATTACCCATCTTTCTCTTCTGAAGTACTGAATCTTATCCCTTCTCTGAAAGCCGACACCGTCAACTGCTTTCTCTCTGAGTCTCTCTTTTGACCTCTCTGCCTCAATAATAACATCTCTCACACCTTACACAACTTGGGCAACTTAAGCATGCTTGCAAGAAGACCAGTTCGGATCAACAGCAAGCAAAATTTTGCTTGGGATTGCTTTTCCGGTTGGTTTTCTGAGATCCGAGGTTTTCCTTCTTTTTCTGTTAGTTTTGGCTGTTTTGGGGGCTCCGGTGGGTCCTGGAGGAAGGCTTGTCTGCAGGGCCCGGCAGGGTCCCCTGTGGCCACCGGCACTTCCGTGAGCTTCCGTGAGCTTCCGTGAGCTTCCGTGCCGGGGTAGCGTCTGGCTTCCGTGCCGTTGCCCTGAACTTCCGTGAACTTCCGTGAGGCGCCCTGCAGCTCAGTGAACCTCCGTGAGCCTCCGTGAGCTTCCCGTGCAGCTGAAACCCCCCCCAAACCCCCCAAGCCAGGACGGGCTCCCTCCAAATCCGACCTAGTCCGACTCCAGCTGAGTCCCACAAGGACAAATGGCCCAAATTTCTTCGAACACAGCCTTTCTGACGGTTTTTGCCAATGTTCTCTGACCCAACCAAAATTTTACAGAAAAAACAATCCCAAGCGATTTTCCAAGAACTGCGCGTGCCTGCTTGGTACGCAGGCCACACACTCTCAGAACCCTTTTTGTACTTGAAGGACACGCAGCCCCACCTGAAGGATTCATGCCGGCGGAATGTTGCAAACCGATGTCCACCCTGACCAAAGCCAGGATCTGGACCTGTCTTGCCTCGCACGCGCCGTGCTGGAGCCGCAGATTCCGGAACTGCTGGCACGAGGTCGAGTGAGTCGGGCGCGGGCACAGGCATAGGGAAGGAGACTAAACCACCTAAACCGGGGGCAGGATCTCTTGAGCTTGATGCGGCACTGCTGCTGGCAAGCTGGAGTGGACGCGTTCTATCAGAAGCAAGAGAGGGCGTTTGGCCCTCGGGCTTGCAGCATCTTGCCCCTGGTCTAGCAACTCTTGAGCAATGGGCTGAAGGGTTCTTCTCAACCGGACCAGTTGTAGAAGCCTTGGGTTGCTTCCTGGATGGCTGCGGCTTGGCCCGCAACTCAAAGTCACAAGCATCGCCTTGGAAATCGAGCGCATCACTCTGTGCTTTCAGCCTGCTCTGGAGCAACTGTTCGTAGTACTTGTCGCCTTGTAAATGAGGAATGGCTGTCAAGCCTTGCTTCTCGCATAATGCAAGAAACTCCAGCTGCTGAGAAACTGAGCAGCAAGGTAAGCTTGCCCAACTGTGACACGACCAGCATTCACAAACATACGCTTCGGCGCGGGGGGCTGCATTGTGGGGATGGGATGCGGCTTTGGTTTTGCACCTTCCTTTTTGCTGACCCACTGATACAACTGCCACCCTTCCTGCTTCAGGAACAAAAGCAATGCTGATTCAGTCCGTCCGAGATGGGAAGACTCTCCTCCAAGTTAACCAAGTCCTCTGCCTTGGACAAGCACATGGCCACGCGCAAGGAAGACACACCTTGTTCTGTCATCTGCCACAGGCCTGAAGCAGAGATTGCAGCCAGGCCCAAATCTTTGAAGTGCTCAAGGCCAGCACGAACATCATCGCTGACCGCAGACACCTCAAGTAAGGCCTTTCACACTGCCTGGAAATGCACCAGCCTGAACAAGCGCATCAGCTGCAGCATGCAGATCTTCTTCACTCAAGGGCTCGGGCACGCCATGCTGGAACCCTCCACCCCAGAAGCAGCGAAGCTTCGAGTCGAGCTTCCAAACTTGCACACTGCTGAACCCGCCTTTGCTGAGAACCTGCAGCGAAGATGCCGTGGGCATCCACTATCAATTTTGTCTGGGCCGAAGTCTCTCACTGCACTCACAAGGGATCTGAACCTTCGGGCTTCCTGGCCAGAAATGGAGTACACGCGGGTTTCATCATGGCTATCCACCAGCTTTTGAAAAGCAGCTTGCTCTTCATACGAATGTGCTTCCCATCTGCAACATCGGTCATGTCCATAAATTGCGAAGCTTCATCGAAGTGATACACTACTTTTTTCGTTTGCTTGGAGTACTTGTGCGTTGTGCCCCAAACAGTACAAAGCCCATTCCACCGCGGGGTCACTACATCTGCAAGGATGGGTGCCAAGTCCAGATGGCCTGAAAGATCCAACGTCACAGCAGCTTTCAAAGGATGATAAAGTTGGTCCGCGGCTTGGGCCAAAACACTCACCAAAGAAGCATCTGATTTGGACCACTCAATCAACAGCGGCATCCTCTCAGCCATGCTGATGAAGACTGGACCTGCGCTGGAAGCCTTCTTCAAAACCTTGTGAACGAAAGCATGCCTTCCTTCAATGCGCTTTTCAGACAGTGGAATGAATCTCAGCCGTGCAGCCATTCGCGCAAGTTCAGGCAAAGCAGACAACGACGTGCCTTGCACAAAAGCTTTCAACTGTTGCTCAAGCGTGTTGCCTCGGGAAAGCATCAACTGAGTGAGTTTGTGAGAGCTGGCTTTCTCTTCTGGCGACATGTTGGCCCACATGCGAAGGCAGGTTGCACCGTTCATGCGTGCAATCTCCGGCGACGAGTGGCCAATTGCGCAAAGCTTGTGCGGGAGATGGCTCCAACAAGCAGTCTGCATTATGAAGGAGAACAAGAGATGCTGCCGGCCACACTCGAAGTCTTCAAGGATCCATGCCTTGTCAGCAGGCGTGGTCGCTCGGCAAGTGAGTGCGACCGCAGCCGCTGACAAGGCCGAGAGCTCACGCAAGAAAGGCTCGAAAGAATCCGCCGCCAGCTCCGGAGCTCGCAAGCCGCGCAAAGGGCAACCCCGACGGAACCAGTGGCGAAGCCTGCGCTCACTGGTCTCGGTGCTGTGGCACGGACAAGACTGAAACCAGTTCTCCACATGGCCCACGAAGTCCGCAAGTTCCGCGACCATGTGAACATAGCTCCAGAAAGTCGCTGACCAGATTGCTTCACTGGCAACGTCCAAGTTGGGACCGTGCAAGTGGCCATCACCGAAAGGTGCACCAACATCCGCAGCTGCAGGATGAGCCTGCTGACCCGGCTGATAAAACCGCATGGATGCCAAGCTCCAGTACCGCCTCAACGGGACTTCCAACGGAAGCAAGTCCTTGCAAACAGCAGCAAATGTGCCAAACCTCCACTTCACAACAGTGTGCGGAAAGGTTGCAAACTTGACTCTAAATGCATGCGCTTCAGGTCCGTTCAAGCAAGTTGCCACAAACCTTTGCCGGGTGTACGCACTGTGCAGAACATCAACCACAGCTGCAAAGGAGGCCTTGACCTTTTCTGCAAAGTGGGGCATCGCATGAAGCATATTGCGCGTGGCGTTGTGGACGATATGAAGGCATCCGGGCGTGGGCAACGCAGACTGCATGGTCAGCAACGGCACCGCCGCGGCCGGCGCCGCCTCTGGTGCTGGCCCAGCTGGCTCAGCTGGCTCAGCCTGCTCAGCTGGCTCACCTGGCAATGCAAGATTTGCCTCCGCCTCTGGCGCGTTTCCGTCTCTTGCATGTGGTGGATCCTCCAACCCAATCCCGACGGCATCTTCTTCGAAAACGAGTTTAGTCTGATCGTAATGCGGGAAAAACATGTTGAAGGGAACGGGGTGAGCCTGTGCAAAGCCTGCCTCTGTCCCACGATCTGATGTAATGGACATGATCGAAGCTGCGAGTTCAGCCAAAAGTGCCGGTTCTCCACATTCCAGAAAGAAGCTGTGGTACAGAGCGTGCAACTCATGCCACATGGACGCTCGACCTGAGTCTTGACCTACGGGCACCATCGGATGTCGCTGAAGATTGTTGCAAAGCATCTCTGCACAAGCGCTCTCGGATTCGATTTCTT